ATATTGTTTTTTAAATTTGTTTTTAGTTTTTAGTTTTTTAAATATAAATTATTTACATTTTTTGTTTCTTTTCTCTCTGTATTCTTATTTTATTGATTCTCAAATTAATTAATTTAACATACAGTAAAATCTTCGCTTCAGGAGTAGAATCCAGTGATTCATCACTTACATATGACACCCAGTGCTCATCCCAACAAGTCCCCTCCTTAATGCCCATTACCCATTTTCCCCAGCCCCATCAACCCTCAGTTTGTTCTCTGTATTTACAAATCTCTTACTGTTTGCCTACTTCTCTATTTTTATCTTATTTTTCCTACCTTTCCATTCTATTAATCTGTTGAGTTTCTCAAATTCCACATATGAGTGAAATCATGTGATACCTGTCTTTCTCTGGTTGACTTATTTTGCTTAGCATAATACCCTTCAGTTCCATCCACATTGTTGCAAATGGTAGGATTTCATTATTTTCCATTATTGACTAGTATTCCATTGTACATATATATATGTACACACACATATATACACCCACATATACACATACACCATATATACACACACATATATACACCCACCCACCACATCTTCTTATCTCTGATGAACATGGATGCAAAAATTCTCAACAAGATACGAGCATATCAAATTCAACAATGCATTAAAAGAATTATTCACCATGATCAAGTGGCATTCATTCCTGGGTACAGGGCTGGTTTAATATTCACAAATCAATCAACAAGATCCAGAACATTAATAGAAGAAAGGATAAGAACCATATGATCCTGTCAATAGATGCAGAAAAAGCATTTGACATGAGTCGCCTGGGTGGCTTAGTCAGTTAAGCGTCCGACTTTCGCTTAGGTCATGATCTCGCGGTTCGTGGGTTCGAGCCCCGTGTCAGGCTCTGTGCTGACTGCCGGCTCAGAGCCTGGAGCCTATTTCAGAGTCTGTGTCTCCCTCTCTCTCTGACCCTCCCCTGCTCACGCTGTCTCTCTCTCTCTCCTAAAAATAAATAAAAATATTTAAAAAAAAAAAAGCATTTGACAAAATACAGCAATCTTTCTTAATAAAAACCCTCAAGAAAGTCGGGATTAAAGGAACATAACTTAACATCATAAAAACCCTATATGAAAGGGCCACAGCTAACATCCTCAATGGAGAAAAACTGAGATCTTTCTCCCTAAGATCAGGAACATGGTAGGTATGTCCACTCTCACCACAGTTGTTTAACATAGTGTTGGACATCCTAACGTCAGCAATCAGTCAACAAAATGAAATAAAAGGCATCCAAATTGGCAAAGAAGAAGTCAAAACTTACACTCTTTGCAGATGAAACGATACTCTACATGGAAAACCCAAATGACTCCATCAAAAAACTGCCAGAGCTGATACAGGAAAGTCACAGGATATAAAATCATGTACAGAAATTGGTCTCATTTCTATACACCTACAATGAAGCAACAGAAAGAGGTATCAGGGAATTGATCCTATTCACAACTGTATCAAAAACCATAAAATACCTAGGAATAAACCTAACCAAAGAGGTAAAAGATTTGTATGCTGAAAACTATAGAAAGCTTATAAAAGAAATTGAAGAAGTCACAAAGAAATGGAAAAACATTCCCTGCTCATGGATTGCAAGGACAAATATTGTTAAAATATCAATACTACCCAAAGCAATCTACATATTCAATGCGATCCCAATCAAAATAGGAACAGTATTCTTCACAGAGCTAGAATAATCAATCCTAAAATTTGTATGCAACCACAAAAAAAAAACCTGAATAGCCAAAGTAATGTTGAAAAAGAAAACCAAAGCTGGAGGCATGGAGGCATCACAATCCTAGACTTTAGCCTGTATTACAAAGCTGTAATCATTAAGACAATTTGGTATTGGCACAAAAAGAGACACATAGATCAATGGAATAGAATAGAGAACCCAGAAATGGACCCAAAAACATATGGCCAACTAATCTTCCTTAAAGCAGAAAAGAGTGTCTAACGGAAAAAAGACAGTCTAATTAGCAAACGGTGCTGGGAAAACAGGACAGCAACATGCAGAGGAATGAAACTGGACTACTTTCTTACACCATCCACAAAAATAAATTCCAAATGGATGAAAGACTTAAATGAGAAACAGGAAACCATCAAAATCCTATAGGAGAAAACAGACAGCAACATCTTTAACCTCAGCCACAGCAACTTCTTACGTGACATGTCTCCAAAGGCAAGGGAAATAAAAACAAAAATTAACTAATGGGACCTTACGAAGATAAAAAGCTTCTTCACAACAAAGAAAACAATCAAGAAAACTAAAAGGCAACCAACGGAATGGGAGAAGATCTTTGCAATGACATATCAGATAAAGGGTTATTATCAAAAATATATAAACAACTTATCAAACTCAAACCCTGAAAAACACATAATCCAGTGAAGAAATGGGCAAAAGACATGAATAGACACTTTTCCAAAGAAGGCATCCAGAATGCTAACAGACACCTGAAAAGATGCTCAACATCACTCAACATCAGGGAAATACAAACCAAAACCACAATGAGACACTACCTCATACGTATCAGAGTGGCTAAAATTAACAATTCAGGAAACAATAGATGTTGGTGAAGATGTGAAAAAAGGAAAACCCTCTTCCACTGCTGGTAGGAATGCAAACAGGTGCGGTCACTCCGGAAAACAGTGTAGAAGTTCCTCAAAAAATTAAAAATAGAATAACCCAGGACCCAGCCATTGCACTGCTAAGAATTTATCCAAAGGATACAGGACTGCTGATTTGAAGGGGGACAAGCACCCAATGTTTATAGCAGCACTATCAACAATAGGCAAATTATGGAAAGAGCCCAAATGTCCATCAACTGATGAATGGATTTTTTTTTGTTTTTAAATTGTACTAATATTGTTTCTAAAATTATTCATTACTTACTATATAATTACTTTGTATGTGTGGCAAATCTTTCAGCACTGATTATGGGTTTATTGACATAGAACAAAGTTTTCAGGACTTAAAATATTGATAGTAAAGGGAGAAGGTAAAATCAGTTAAAAATAAAAAAGTGTCATCGTTTATAATTGAATTAAATACTCTCTTTGTGGGGCATCCGGGTGGCTTAGTCAGTTAAGCTTTGACTCCTGATTTTGGCTCAGGTCATGATCTCATGGTTGTGAGATCAAGCCCTGCATCAGGCTCTGTGCTGACAGCACAGGGCCTGCTTAAGATTTTTTCTCCTTCTCTCTCTGCCCCCCCCCCCCCCCTTACTACCACACACAGGTGCGTGCTTGTACTAGCATGCTATCTCCTCTCTCTCAAAATAAATAAACATTTAAAAAACTGCTTATAATAGAGCTTTTTTTCTTTAATGAATAATAAAAACTGGTACTATATCAATCATTTAGGATTATTACCTGTAAGCGTTAGATTTGATCTGGATTTCAATTATTTTCAAAGAACCCTCACCAATTAGGCTGCCATTCTGTCTTATATTAAGTACTTCTCTGGGTTTTTAACTTTTTTTTTTCATTGTTTATCATGTTTATCATGTTATCTTTCTCAACTATGAATCTTACCCTCCTTTAGTGACTATGATTCACTTTCAAGTGGACATAATAGTTCTTAATATTGTGTCTCTGTTGACTCTATTTTAACATTGACTAACCCTGTTATATAAGAAACCTTGACAGCGAGGGGCTGGTGGGATTAATGTGGTAGCAAGCGGTCACCAAGCCTGTCGTCTTCAGCACATACATATACCTGCATGTGCAACCATGTGCGGCCAGCTCTAAACAGCACAGAATGAAAGAGGGCTGCTCCCCTCAACTCGCTTTCTCATCTGATTCACTCAAAGATAAGAAAGAACAATAAAGGCAATAAAAACAAATTTAACACCGCAGATAACTATAAATCATCAAATATCTACCTTCCACGTGTCACCTGGGCTTCTGGGGAGATTATCTATAAAGCTAGTCATACAACCAGAAAATAAACAGGACTCATGAAATTTCCTGAAACTGACTCCAATGTTATGAAATCATGTGTGGTGTGGAGGGTTGTAGCAATTATCCGCATGGGTCTTCCACAGAAGAAGGTGAGGAACCCTTATGCTGAGATGAAGGGCAAGGTTTTTAATAATTTGGAAAATATTTCCTGAGAGACCAAGCATTTGAATCCACTGTCTTTCTGGAAATGAAGCCTTTACATTTAATAATTGCTAATATATGATTCAACTTATTTCCTTGTTTTCCTGCTTATTTCTCTCTCATTTCATCTTTGGGTTAGGGGGGCAGTTAGAATTTTTTTTTTTTTTTTTCTATTTGTGCTTGTTGGTTACTGTTAGTTTCTTTTTTATTTATTTATTTATTTATTTATTTATTTTTTTACAAATAGTTTATTGTCAAATTAGTTTCTAGAATTATTTTTTTAGGGTGTGCCTAGGTGGCTCAGTCAGTTAAGCGTCTGACTTTGGCTCAGCTCATGATCTTGCGGTTGGTGAGTTCAAGACCTGTCAGTGCTGTTGACAGTGCTAACAGCTCAGAGCCTGGAGCCTGCTTCAGATTCTGTGTCTCCCTCTCTCTCTGCTCCTCCCTCACTCATGCTGTGTCTCTCAAAAATAAACAAAAACATTTTTAAAAAGTTTAAACAGGAATTATTTTTTTAATCATACTTCAGTTCTATTTTCTCAAACTGCATCCTTTTGCTTGACTTCTCCCACCGACTTTACAGCTTTACCTCACTCATAAAACCTCGCTAAGGGCTTGTGCACAATCAGGATTGCCATTCTTTCTTAGTCAGGCTCTCTCCTCAACAGGGGACACAGGAGGCTAGGGAGATAGGTTTGTAGATAGTTACAGTGAGAGGAGGAAGAAGGAAGTCGTGGTGGGACGCCATGACAGCACAGCAGAAGAACCTATGTGGTTGTAACTCTAGGTTCAGTCATGGATTTGCTCATCTCTAATTTAAAATGGGAGCTTTAAAATGATGCCATTTTAATCTTTACCTGAAATTCAAAGGTCTTCTGATTCCTCTCCACCAGATATGTGCTTCATTGAATACTCATTCTCTTTTGAAATGTTAAACTTCTTTTCTTCCCGTGACTAAAAGAGGAGGGATGGAAGACAGAATGAGCACAGCTAGAATCACATTTGGAAATACAGTAGAGTTGAGTCACCTCCAGATGGTGGCTTCTATTTCCTCTTCAGAAGTTTTCTGCTGAGAGTTGAGAGTGTAAGGGTGGAGACAGGTCAGTTATTTAAGGAGTGGAGAAAAGGAATAGAATAGTGTGTACTTGAAGAACAAGCTGACCTGGAAAATGAGACCAGGTTTCTTGCATACTTGGGATCCATTTTGAGCCTGATGATTATAAATTTATAATGAAATCCATATACCCTATTTTGGATTTTTCTTCCAGTGCTCTAGCTGTCACACAAAGGCATAAAGAAATAGATAACTGGGTTCATTCTAGTTTGGCATTTTGTCAAACAAGGGGAAGTGAATTGGCAACAGGAAAATTAAAATGATGGACTGTAGAAATGATGAGGCTAGAAAGGGAGGTGGAGACAGGAGAAGTCTGACAGATGGGAAGAAAATGTGAGGATAAATGGACCAGAAATCACAATAGTGTTTAAGTACCATCCCAGTACAATCAGTTAAATAAGGAAGTTGGAAATATCAATTGTGATTAAAGAGTGGATTATTTAAATAGCACTTTGGAAGGCAAAAAGGCTTTAGGTGAGGAAAAGTTCCATGCTGCGCATGGAGTGAGCATGTTAGTAAGGTGGAATAGAAGTGAAAATAATCAGAGAAGAGGAAGCATATCAGTTGGGGTAGGAATACTCCCTCCACTCACGGAGTTAGACAAAGACCAGAGCTATGTTAAGGAAATACAAAATACTATAGGAGCCTATGAGATAATCTGTGGGCTTCCTTAACATAGTTTTAATCACCGTAAATACCTGGTACTTCTTTGTCTCCATGAGCATAGAAACTATATTTATCTTGGTTATCTCCAAGATCTAACACAGTTCCTGGAACACAGAAAGGCTTAATAATTGTTTACAGATGAATGAATGCATAAATAAATGACGGAATAAAGGATGCCGTGGAAGGTGATGGTAGCCACTTTCTGAGATAACTACCAATGAGATTTGGCTCCTAGAGTTCACATCCTTATGTACTTATGTCCCATATTTTATCAGGGCTGATTTGTGTAACAAGTAGACTATGGCAGAAGAGAAAGTGTGTCAATTCTGAGGGTAGTGTGTAAAGCCTATAGCCTCCATCTTGGATTACTTCTGTTGACAGAAGACACATCATGAGGAGCACATGGTAGAAACTGAAGTTTCCTGCCACATCCATATGAATGAACTTGGAAGCTGATCCAAATGCCACTCAAGCCTTCAGAGATTGGAGTCTCAGCCAACAGTTTGATTACAATCACACGAGAGATCCTGAGCCAGAACCACCCAGCAAAGTCATTCCTAAATTCCTAATCCTCAGAAACTGTGTGAGATAATTACATCAGTTTTTTTTAAGCTGTTAATTTCTGAAGTATTTTGTTATGCACCAATACATAGCTAATACAGATGGTAAGCTATTTTCACAGAACATTTCATGATTTGTTCTTCACGCTTACTCCACCCAGATGAAGGTCCCCCACACTTCCACCATCCTCCTGCCCCTCCTTTTGATTGGTATCATTTTAAGAGGAGTCCTTGCAGCCTGTAGGTGCATGGAAGAATCAGGAAAAAAACAATTGTTCCTAGTCTCAGGGCATAATTTACATGTCCTCCTATTTGTGCATAGAATCATAAACAACGCCTCCACTTTTTACTCTATATTATAATAATTTTAAGGGTCTCGTATTTCTCCTTTAGCAACAAAATGTCACATGAGTACGGATTTTGTATTTAAAGACATAAAATATCACTATGTTATGGCGCAATGACTTATTTTCTCATTTTGTGAGATTATGTAGCTGCTGCAAAAGGTGTAGACTTCTGAAATTTCATTGGTTTCCCAATCCACACAGATTTATTGCCATTTTTGGCATGTTTCTTCAGTTCTTCTCAGAAGCAAAAGCAAGTCAGTATAAGCCATAATTGACACAAGCCACGAAATGCACTTTCAGCACAGGATGGCTTCACTAAAATTTAGTTTTGTTCACTCCATTTTAATTCTAAGCAATTAAAGCTTCAATAATAATAAATCCAAAAATAAATTGAAAATTTTAGGGATAATTAATCAGGTGCAATAGAATTCCTGCTTATGTATGGCTTTTAAATCATCATATTGTTTAAAAAATGAAGCCTTAGACAATAAAACATTATATTCAGGATAGTTTAAAAAGGTCAATATATCTGTCAGAAAAAGCAGTTTAATGAATTAACAGGAATGCTGCCTATTTTGCTCTGTAAAACAAAATAACACTATTTTATAAAAATATTATTTTACCATATGAGATTTCTCATCCTATCTGTATAAAATATAGTGACATATAATAACCAAAATTTTAGACACTATCATTTCCTCTACATATGTGATGAAGTACAAAATGTTTTCTTTGTATCTTACTTAAGGATAATAGATATTAAAAACATGGACCTATCTTTATTTATGAGATTGAGTGGATATTATGCACTTTTTGCCAAATTTATATATATGAAAGATATGATAAAGAAGATATTATCAGTTTATATAACATAATCTCACATATCTATCAAAAATGTTTATACTTCTGTAGTGTTATCCTATGTCACAGTAATAAATTATGATCGAGTTTTACATTTGTTATAATAGATGACATTCAATTCTTTGGTTAGATTTGACTCTTAAGATAGTTTACTTTGAAGGACAATTAGCATTGTGAAATTTGCTCTAAAATAATTTCAACACACATTTAAACTTGTCCTTGTTCACCTACAATGCAGGCTTGCATCATTATATTTTGCAACTCACTTATCCTGAATGACAGCTTGAAAAATCAACACATCGGACAGAATGGAGGGCTCATAATTCTTAATAAAAAACCTATTTCCAAAATAAAAAAGAGCATGTTCTTGGATACACTAAATAGCTACTTTTTATTTAAAAATTTTTAATGTTCTATTTATTTCTGAGAGAGAGAGAGTGTGACCAGGGGAGGGTCAGAAAGAGAGGGAGACACAGAGTCTGAAGCAGGCTCCAGGCTCTGAGCTAGCTGTCAGCACAGACCAATGCAGGGCTCAATCCCAAGAACCATGTGATCATGACCTGAGCCAAAGTCGGACGCTTAACCGACTGAGCCACCCAGGAGCCCCACTAGCTACTTATTAAAAATATGTTAAACATAACCATAAGAACCGTAGCTGAAGAGTCGTCTCATTTGCTTATATATGTATAGGTTTGTAGTAGTGACTTCCTCACTTTCAGACCATATATACAGATAGCAAAACTGCAACAGATACATGCACACACACACTAATGTCCATCTGGCTAATATTCATTAAAATAGAGCTTGCTAGCTCCTTGAGGGTAAGGTTCTTGGTACCGACCTTCTCTCCCCATCCCCAGGGTATATAGCACAAAGTACAAAACAGGTGATTAATACACATTTTTAGTTGAGTTGACAATGTTCACGCAAACATTTTTTTCAATCTGATAGCTTTTTTTTTTTAACGTTTTATTTATTTCTAGGAGAGAGAGAGAGAGAGAGACAGAGTGAGCAGGAGAGGGTCAGAGAGAGAGGGAGTCACAGACTGAAACAGGCTCCAGGCTCCAGGCTCCAAGCTGGCAGTCAGCACAGAACCCGATGCGGGGCTCGAACCCACGAACCGCGAGATCATGACCTAAGCGAAAGCCGGACGCTTAACCGACTAAGCCACCCAGGCGCCCCTCAATCTGATAGCTTTTTATCTGCTGCTAGATCTTATTTTGTGTTAACTATGTTAGAGATATATTGCAACTGAATTTATTTCCGTTCCTACTGCTAAATATTACCTTAGGCATTTTTGTTCTGCCAAAAAACCTCATGAAGATAGACATAAAATAACTCCACCATTAAGTTAAGGACACTAGTGTTAACAAAGCAAAAAATATATATTGTAATGGATTTTATTCCCATTGGATATACCACTTAGGTAGGCACATTGTGTATCTGGGTGTTCACGAAAAAGAGCTCTCAATCTCCAGACACACTTGACCGAGACGCCAGATCCCAGGCTTACACGTGAGAAGAGATCAGCCAGTTCACCTCACCAGGTGGCCCACTATTAGGCTTCTAGCAGGGCTCTGAAAAGTAGCAGTCTTCTGCTTCCTCGCTTTCTTGGTACTCCCAATTATAAATGCACCCCTATTCATTCAGATTATTTTCATGAACATTACTAAGGAAAATTGGCAAAGTTTAATGATTTAAAATGGGAAATTTCACATTTTTCATAATTGTATAATAATTATACACTCTTTAAATAGATATATAGTAACTGCGTCTAACTCTATAAATGTCTGTAGATCTTAATTTCCCTTCTCAGGGTCTGCATAGAAGCCAAGTTGAAGTTTTCTTCTCCATTCCTACTCTGTCCAGAGGATTCCCTAAATTTCCACTGTCTTCCTTGGCCCTACTTTTGACAGGCATCATTCCATAAAAAGTCTTCTCAGTTTAAGTATGTGGAGGAAGTCAGGATAAAACAATTGTTTCCTGGTCTCAGAGGATAACTTACATTTCTCCTAGTTTGTACATACATCCATTTCTCTGTCCTCTGCCCAGAAGAGGTCCCTACACAGGCATCTCTTCGGAACAAATTCCTATAGAAGTGAGTATGCCCTTCAGCTCATAATCTCATATCTATGAATTTATCTTCAGCACAAAAATTTTAAAGGAGATGACTTTAAACATTCAGAATTACACTCCAACAGTGTTCATAAAAGTAAAAATTGGAAAGAGTCAATAATCGCAATGGGGAAATTTTTAATAAAATTATGATTTAGTCATGTAATGAAATATCAAGGAAACATTAAAGTTATGAACATTAGATTGTAAAATATAAAAATCTGCTGCCTCTGATTCAATAAGGTATCTGTACAATGAGGAACTTCCAAAACAGCTGCCAGTCCCAGAATTATGTCACCTTGGTGCTATTTGCAATGAAAAGTGGGGGGACCACATGCCTATCCACACTCCCTTCCAAAGAGGTCTCCCTCAGGTCATCTGGTGAGTGTAATTCTAGCTTCAAGTGAGTCTGAGAAATGTAGCTTTTTTGTTTTTTGTTTAGCTTTCCAGCTTCTGCATCCTGCAACCCTACAAGGGGTTAGAATACATGTTGAGGGAGGTAATCCACAGGGTGTGTTGCTGCTGTTAGGAAATCAACAGTTGCTTTTATCCAGCAGAGTTATATAGGTGGGGAAGAGCCAACAAGGCACAGGTATAGGATCAATGGGCATTTTTCAGGAAGCATAATTACTAAAACTTGCATATTCAGGAAAAATATTTATTATTATTTTAAAAGAAAATGCTTAATTATAGAATGTTTGCCAATGCCTAACGTATTCTAAAGTCCTGTCAAGTGAATGAAATCAGAAATGATAGAATTGTCAGCTTAGTGTAGTAGAAAGTGGACTAAGTTAAGGATCAACAGATTCATATTTCAGTTCTGCTTTTATTACCAAGTAAATAGATTACTTAGTAACTTAGTCATTTAAGTAAATAACTAGTTACTTATATGATATCTCTGAGTAATACCAATTTATTGAAATATAGAAGAGATTCTAAGTTTCTTTCCTATTCCTCAAAAGTGTTAAATTTCAACATTATTATCATGATCATCTAATCTACTGAATTATGTAAATTTTAGTTTATTTAGTCTTATTTTTGTGAAAAGGAAAAACCATTTGTGCCATATAAACCATATGTGCATAGTTACTCTTCTTCTACAATAATGATAATCCTTGGAAAACTAGATTGTATGAACTTTAGAATATTCCATTTGTCTTTTTTCCCCAAAAAATCTTTATGCTGTGCTGGAATAGCTATGGTATCTTATAATTGCTCATTACTGGGAAATTTATTTTTCTTCCTTGGATAAAGAAAAGAACTACTGGGGTGCCTGGGTGGCTCAGTCGGTTAAGCATCTGACTTCAGCTCAGGTCATGATCTCACGGTTCGTGGGTTCGACCCCTGCGTCGGACTCTTGTGCTGACAGCTAGCTTAGAGCCTGGAGCCTATTTCAGATTCTGTACCTCCCTCTCTCTCTGACCCTCCCCTGCTCACGCTCTCTCTCTTTCTCTCTCTCTCAGAAATAAATAAAACATTAAAAAAATTTTTTTAGAAAGAAAGGAATTACTATTTATTGAGTATATGCTTTATCAGACACTGTGTTAGATAGTCCTGAAATGCGATCTAAACTACCCTTCGGCTATAGAAAGCATTAAACAATCATACCAGGTGGATTTCCATGGGATTTTTAAATATACAAAGAACATCCACAAACTTTATCTCACTGAATCCTCATGAGAATCTTGTAAGACATAAAATTTTTACCAAGGAAGGGAAGTGAGCTTTAGGTCAGTAATCTGCCCAAGGTCACACATCAAGCAAATGATTGAGTCTTGACAGGTCTCTGTCTCAAAACCCACATCAGCCTTTTAACTACAATATCTTGTCTACTGCACATGAAGAAAAGCCTTCGTTAACTGACACTACCCTGCTAGAGTTCATTTTCCCCTTTTGCTCTGGGCACGATGGCTCAATTCCAGGCAAAGCCGGCACTTGCTCCCAGTTTGTTTCTTTCCTGACTGGCGGCCTACAAAATGTAGTCACTGCCTTTAACAAAGATTGAAATTTTCCCTTGCTAAGGAAGCACCCTAATACGATCAATATATGGCAGCACAGAATAATTTTACTTGATTTTATTTTACTTTGATTGAATTAACCAGAAATTATTGTTCTGACATATTTAAATTTTTGTAAAAAATGATATTGTAAAATACTGTCAAGGGGCATGTGCAAGATATGTAGGGTGAGGAAAACTTTATTCTACCAACATCACATTTGCAGTAAGCCTGTAAGCTCAAAACTGAGGGTGAAAATCAAGTCTTGGTACTAGGCACAGAAGCAATGGAGTTGTCTTTTGGATATTATTGTCACAGAGGAAAATCTGGCAGTACCATGCCATTAGAAGACAAATTTTAAAAAAGATAAGAAACCTTGTGTGTAAAAATGAGTAGATCAATAATCTATTTTCCATCATATAGAAAAATAAACTCACATTTGAATTTACTTTGTAAAAATAGAATAACATAAAAAAAACAATGACAACAAATAAAAATCATTATTGCTAGAAACAGATGTAGGTCCAGGGTGAGTTCCTAAAATGGAATTAGAGGACATTAAAAAGGGAAGTGATGTTACAGAGCTATAAACCATTAATTATGATACCACTTAACTTTATGTCCGAAGAATTTATGATGTGTATATATACGTCCAAGGGATTAGAACTAGTATTAAAGTTGTTTCAAGCCATTAAATATTTTTATAAAGTAAGAAGGGAAAAAATTACTTCAAATATAGTAAGTGTAGTCTATTTGATTTGATTGAAGGTCTTATATGAGGATTTTTCCTACAAGTCCTAAGTCAATACTCCCATATGTTATGAAATATTCCTAATCAGATCTTCACTTAGGATGACATATGCATTCTTGGGACCAAATAAATAGCATTTGAAGACCTCCATAAGTTTGTGGGAGCATACACACACAAAAAAAGACTGTTTAAGACCAAGGACACGAGATAATCAAAAGGTACAGGTGAAAGAAACCTAAACAAAATAACTATCATCAACTGTTGGATTACTCAGAACAACTCTATAATTTAACTTGGGGAAAAAAAGACTTCTTAGGAAATATAATAGCCAGTTCAGCCTATAACAGATTATTGAGTGAAATTTTCCCTGTCATCTCAGAATTTTAGCTAAGGTACAAAGCCAAAAATTAAATGCAAAATTCTAAAACAAAACAAAAATCAGGGTGAGACCCTTAACACATTTTCTAAGACGCTATAGAAAGAGGTCTGCAACCACCCGCTGGGGAACGGCAGTGAACATTCAGCTCTCTTAAGAAGTGTCGTGTTGTGTGGGGAGGGTTACTTTTCTTTGTACCATCCTTCCCCACTCCTGCCAAAGTCGAGGGATTAGAATGGGGAGGATGATTCTAAGTGAATTGTTTATTAACATGTGTGGTGCCCCCCCCATGAAAGGTATTTAATAGTCAACTGAACATATACTTTTATCCCTACTCATTATAAAAACCCTACTTAAACAACATTTTACAGAATTTTAAAAGGAATGATATCACAAGAACAAAGAAAACAGAGGAAAAAAATACTTGCAAAAGCAGATAAATTGAGAACCATCAGATTTTGAAAATCAGAATGAATGTTAATAGATGTAGCAGCCCTGAGAGAGCTGGATCCTAAAATGGCGGTGCTGAAAGCCAATAAGCAACCCGATTTGCATTGCTCATCCCAGAAAACACTCCAGTAGCTGGCAGCACCAGATGCTTTGGAAGTAGGGGAAAAAGATGGTTTTAAAAACAGCAGATTGGTTGAAAGTCTGTTTAAGAAGACGTCAGAATCTTAGATCCTCTCACTTACTTCATATATTCAGATGACTGTATCTCTCCAACCTGGTAGAGAATGGAGGCTTTAGTTTCTGGAGAGGATAAAATGGGTGGTAAAACGTGGCATACATGAAACAATGATAGGATACTACTTTTAAAATACATTTAAAGACCAAAAAGAGCCCTTGAGAATTAAAAAATATGGCAAGAGAAACAGTAAACTCAACATGCATGTTGGAAGCGAGGTGAGATCTCCTAGGAAACAAAATCTCCCAGGGAAGGAAGGAAGGAAGGAAGGAAAATTTAGAGAGTGCCTTAGTGCGTTCGGGCTGTTGTAACAGAAATACCATATACTGGAAGGCTTATAAGCAACAGAAATTTATTTCCTATAATTCTGGAGGCTGGAAAATCCAAGATCACATTCAATGTCTGCCGATTCAATGTCTGCTGAGGACTAGCATCCTGGTGCAAAGAACAAGCCCCATGTTGAGTGTAGAGATTACTTTAAAAAAAAAAAAAAAAGAATATGAACAGCTTTGGAAGTCTGACATCAATATTGTTGACAGCTGGAAGAAAACAGAGCAACTGCTGCAAAATTCTGAGCAAAAATTATTTTCAGTTCAACTAACAGACAAAATCAAGACAAGGGTAGACACAAGGGTAAGAGATGTTTTTAGAGAGACAAAATCCTCAAAGTTTACCTGCTGCGCATACTTTCTCAGTAGTCGACACTGGAAACAGATCTGGCACAAGTGAGAGGTGACAAGAATCCTCAGGAAGACAATGGAAGGAGGTCTCAGGAGGAATGGTTTGTAGGGACCTGGAGGCAACCAGTCCAGATTGAAGCAGATCAGTTTATGGCTGTTTTTTCTCTAAAAATACTAAAAATAGAACACCTGTCGTCTCTAAAAGTATCGAGAGAGAATTTCTATTATTTCGCAAATATTTGAGGTGGAAGTATAATGTGTGCCCAGAAAATCAAAAGATAAACAGAAAAGACAATTTTAATCCCAGAGATGATGAAATATTACACAACAAAATAATCATAGTATACTATGTGAATATTTAAATGTCATAACAATGTAAATTCTTATTTTAAGGCTTTTTTAATGTTTATTTATTTATTTTGAGAGAGAGAGGGTGTGTGTGTAGGAGAGAAGAGCAGAGCGAGAGGGAGAGAGAGAGCCCCCAAACAGGCTCTGCACTGTCAGCATAGATTCCACCGCCAGGCTTGATCCCATGAGCCACAAGACCATGACCTGAGCCAAAATTAGGAGGTGGATGCTTAACCGACTAAGCCACGCAGGCGCCCTAACAATGCAAACACTTAATAGCGATTAAGACAAGATTATAAACATAACCCTCTTGGGAGGGTCAGAGGGAGGAAAGTCTACGTATGGTGGGCAAAGTTGTAGATAAAGCACGGTTAAGTTTTCCGTTTGGGGAAGACAGCAGATACAGAAAGATCAAGAAGTAGCAGTGTAAGCTATTTCAGAGGTATGACGACCAAAAGACATAGCTAAATGAATTAAAGTCGGTTGCCTCTATAAAGGAAAAAGCGGTATACGGTATTGATGGCAAGAGGCTGCTGTGTTTTTGCAAAGAGCTTTGTAAAACATTTAGCCTAACGATAAATGCATACTTTGGGGGAAGAAAATGAACAAAACGTGGGCCACTGCTCGTGCGGAGGGAGAGTGCACCGTGTTCCCCGGGGAGCCACGGACGTGGGCTGCAGAACTGCTGGTCTGTGCCTTTGCGTGCCTGAGCTGAGGAGACAGAGCACAGGCTGGAAGGAGAGGAGGCGGCAGTGGGGAGCAGCTGGTAGCCCTAACGCGGCAGGAATGCCAGGGTTGTCTAGTGTCTTCATTTTCTAGCTGCCACAACAAATTACCACAGATTTAGTGCCTTAAAACTGATTTACAGTTTTAATTGACAATTTTAAAGTTCTGTAGATCACAACTGACACAGGTCTCACTCAACTCAAGTCAAGGTGCCAGGAAGGCTGCCTTCTCTTCTGGAATCTCTAGAAAATAATCGGTTTCTTTGCATTTTCCAGCTTCTAGAGGTCTCCCACATTCCCTGGCTCGTAACCTTCTTCTTTCATTTTCGTAGCCAGTAATGACCACTTAAGCCTTTCTCACATCACACCACCCTGGCCGAACCTTCTGCCTCCCTCTTCCACTCTTGAGGACCTCTGTGATTACACTGGATCCCCCCAGATAATTCAGGAGACGCTCTCATTTAAAGTCAGTTGATTAGAACCTCAACTCTGTCTGCAACCTTAATTTCCCTTTGTCATCTAACATGACACGTTCATAGATTCCAGGGATTCGATGTGGAAATCTTTGGAGGGCCATCTATTCTTACCATTATTTAACACACCTAAAGACAGAATGGACAGTTCAGGAGATACCCGGGCTTCAGCTGCCTTTCTAGTACTTCACCTGAAACAGATTCCCAATTCCCACCGATGTACTGTAAGGTAACCAACCACAAAGTTCTAAGGGGTAGACCAATGGGGTTGTGTGCTTTAAGGGGGAAAAGTACAGACAACTCTATATGGTGTACAAAAGAAAAGTTTGTAGTGGAGAAGCTCCAAAGGATCCATATATTTGCTGAACTATCAAGAGTTAGGCCGAATGTTCTCCAAAAGGCATAGACAGCCCATCAATGACAGTCAGAAAAGTGCAGTCAGAAAACAGAGAACAAAAACAAACACAGTAGAAGGACTGTGTCGTCATCCAGACACCTTGGGAAAGATCTGCCGCTCTTCTCTGCCGTCTCTAATTAGAAATCAGAACTGTTACGAGACCTAGGAGTGGGAAGCTTGTAAGAAGAAAATACCACCATTGAGCTACTCGACTTTATCCTTGAGAAGAAGAGCTTTGAATCCATGCAATGTTAATGCTGTAGACTTGATCGGAGTCTTAATAAACACAACTAGCTGGAAAATTTACAGACTCTGACAAAGATGCAGTAAGAGATGGAAAAAGTAATTTATAGCACGGTAACTATTGAGGACAGCGAAAAATTTTTAACTTATATTTTTACCTCTATGAGTCTATATTCTTCAACAACCTGTTACAAGTATATAAAAATCTGGAAAGCCGATTCAATTTGTATGTCACTTAGATTACATTAGCTCTGGGGAATACAATACAGAGGAACACAATGTCCCTCAAGTGAGTTGAAGGACCATGTTCTTTCCTCAGGCTCTTATTTCCAGCAATAGTTTTCTTTAAAACTATACTCCGTAAAATGGAAAAAATGAGGTTCAAGCTAAAAGTGGTGAAATCATCTTTCATTTTCGAAGCAGCAATAGAAAGACTGGTGCTGTTATAAATACAAGCAATGAGTTCATGGCTTCATGATCTTAAAGTATATACACGGAATCAACATTTTTCTTTTCAAAGGTAAAAAAAAAAAGGTAGGAAAAAATCAAGGAAATCATTTGCTTTTGTAATATAAACTGTTGGCTCTGCGGTCATAGTCAGTCTCTTTACTCTTATCCATCCATCCAACCTCCGAAAAAGCCTTCAGGATGCAGAAATATCTCAAAGAGTGATGGAAGGTCAGGTTAGTATGTAGTGAACTATTTCAACTCTAACAGTGGAAATTCATATATTTCCCCCTGAAAGGCGATAGAATAATTATTTTAAGTTTATTTATCTTGAGAAAGAGAGACAGAGACAAAGTGCACGGGAGGGACAGAGAGAGAATGAGAGAGAATCCCAAGCAGGCCCCACGCTGTCAGTGAGGAGCCCAATGGGAGCCCAATGAGGGCCCCATGGGGGCCAGACACAGGGCTTGAACTCAGGAACCATGAGATCATGACCTGAGACAAAATCAAGAGTCAGACACTTAAACTGACTAAGCCACCCAGGCACCCCTAGGATAATTTTTAACATTCAGCAACTAAAATAGCAAAACCATTATCAAGCCATCATGCAATCATAGAACAGTATACTCTATCAATTTTCTTTGTTTATTTTCTACTCTATATTCTTTCTCTCTCTCTCTTTTTCGATTTTTGCTTTGTGTAAGAGACATTTCTATTATTCATCCCTGTTTGTTTCTCTTTTCCTTGTAGACATATTGGAGAGCCAACTGGTTGGAAGTGAAGTGATACATGTCATGTCTGTGTGGAGATACTAAGTTGACAGTAGAAAACACACCAGCACTCTCCTTCCCTGAAATTGTGAAAACATGTGTTGAGAAGATGCCAAGAGCTCAAAGTGGCCTGGATTGTCAAACACCCACATTCAAGGCAAGTATCCTGGAGAGTCACTTGAACCCTAAACGGACTTCAAGTGAGCAAGGAATAATTTTTTGTTATTGTTGTTACTGCAGTATAGCCTAGCTCATTCTGACTGATACACTCACTATGCAGAGCCTATTTTTCCATTTCAGTGTTCATTTTACCTTGCTCTTATCCTCAGGCATGTCTTCTCATTACTAAACATGCCTGATCCACTCTGCAAATCTTGATTTATCACATATACATATATACAGAGGTATAGGCATAAACGCAATGAACAACCAGTTTCATTGCAATATAAAGCTCGCAGGAATCTTGTCAATTCAGCTTGAACAAGTCCTTGTCAGTTGACATGGGAAATACTGGGCTACTGCTGCTTGAGAAAGATGCCTTCCTACGACTGACAATTCAAAGTACATTTACGCACTGGAATCAGAGAAATTCCATTTTTCATTCCAATTCCATCACCACAAGTTCTTTGATTCTTAGTAATGCTAAATTCTTGCAGCCTTGTAAAACATCTGCAAAATGGGGGGATGATATATCTAATTTATGGGGTTTGGGAGTAATTAAACATAATGTAAGCAAGAATATTTGGCACAGAATTAATAGTCAAGAGGATAAATATTGTTGTCAATATATACTGTTTTCTGATAAGATTTTGGAAATTTGCCAGGTGCTAGGGGTTTCAGGGAAGGAAACAAGGTTCTTAATGGTACTCCTTTGTTCTCTAGTTTTCATGTCTCCTTCTGTTCAACTCTACTATACTGATTTCCCAAATCTTTGTAGGGATTAGTCCAAATATACTTACTTATGTAACTGAAGAGAAGCACAAGACAATACAGCAGTTCCTGCTTAGCCAGGCGGGCTACGTACCAAGACCCCCGGTGGGTGCCTGGACAGTGCTGAACCTTATATATGCTATGCGTTTTCCTCTACAAACATACCTGTGATAAAGTTTATTTTATAAATTAGGCACAGTAAGAGAGTAACAAGTAATAATAAAATAGAACAAATTACAAAATTTGTAAATTACAAAAAATACAAAAAACTATAATAAAAGTTATGTGAATGTGATTTTGATCTCTTAAAATATCTTTTTGCGCTGTACTCACCCTTCTTGCGATGAAGTGAGGTCATAAAGCGCCTGGAAGAAACTAAGCGAGGTAATGACGCAGCATTCTGATGTAAAGTTAGGCTTCTATTGACGTTCTGCCGATTCGTCAGAAGGAGGATCATCCATCGGCCTCTGGACCGCGGTTGATGGCAGGGAACTGAAACGGCCGAGAAGAAAACTGCAGATAAGAGGGAGTAACTGTATTCTTCAAACAATAATGTTATTTGGGCAAACATCACATTTGAATTCCTGAAATGGCGTTTACTTCTCACTTCACACATTATGTTATTGACATTTGACGTGAGACAAGCTTTGTAAAGTATACTATGTATCAGGGAAGCAAAGTGGGAACCCATTTCCAACCATCTAAGGCACTGGTCTGAGTTTGGTAAGGGATTACTTGGCATAGAATGTCTTGATTTTCTTCAGGGAGTGGCAG